AAAGAAACATAAAAACTTTGGGTAATAGGGTCAAACGAATAGAAACGACAGGGACCGGAATGAGGATACAGTAGAATGCCACCTGGCCCAACCTGTATGCATTCACTAACAGAGTTCCCGGCTGTCAGTAATCAATGACGAAAATGTTTCTTCTGGGAAGGGAAGGAACAGGGGAGGAAGGGCGGGAGGGAAGGAAAGGAGGGAAGGCAGATGAGGAAGGTGAGGGTCAGGGGAAGAACACAGATCCTATCCGCTACAAACAAAAGTCAACTAGAGAATATCCCTATCGGACTGTATTTGTAGTTTTATAACTTTTTTATTTCGTTATTTTTATAACTTTTTTATTTCGTTACTTTTATAAATTTTTTATTTTTTTCCTTTTATAACTTTTTAATTTTGTTTTAATTTTGTTACTTTGATAACTTTTAACCTATTTTTCCCCATTCTTATACAATTTTATTGCCTAGAAATGGCAGATACCGTATCAGTGAGGGTTTGCGTGTATCGTTGGTGGGCCTCCGAAGTTATAATTGTAGTGTACCCCAAAGTACAAAATAACTGCTTGGAGGGGAACCTAGTATTAGACACATTCAAGTGGACTCACTCTGTAATGCTGAGGACGTTTCGCTGCTCGTCCAAGAAGCTTCTTTGGTTCAGTTTGGTTCTTTGGGACTGGAGAAAGGACTTCAACATTGCAGAACAAGTCCAATTTAAAGTGACACTACTATTATTATTATTATACAGGGTTTATAGAGCGCCAACAGTTTATACAGCGCTGTACAATATAAGGAACACATTACAATCACAATACAATTCAAGACAAGATGGTAAGGAGGGCCCCGCCCCTGAGGGCTTACAATCTAAAAGGGAGGGGCCAGTGATACATGAGGAGGGGGCTGTGTGGGGATGGATTGTATGAGAACGTGATGGTTGAGCGGTTAGGTTGAGGTGGGATCGGCTTCCTTGAAGAGATGAGTCTTTAGGGATCGCTTAAAGGCAGTCAGAGTGTGAGATAGACGGACAGGTTGGGGTAAGGAGTTTCAGAGGATGGGAGATACTCCAGTGAAGTCCTGGAGGCAAGCATTAGAGGAGTTGACGAGGGAGCTGGAAGGCAGGAAGTCTTTGGAAGAGCGGAGTCTTTGGTTAGGGTGACAGCAAAGTCCAGGGAGATTGACACGTGTTTGTCAGCTTAGGTTTATATCTCTGGTGGACAAATGGCCTACATGGTGGACAAGTAGAGGTTGCTCACTATCTTCCATTGGGCACAACGTACTCCATTCATTTGCCGATGGAGCTAGATTCTTTCAACCTCTTTGGTAATAATTGGAGCAAAAGCTTCGTGACCAAAATGAGGGTTTCTTGTGAAAGATGAGCTGATGACCTGGTGGAACATATGCCTTACTTTCAGACATGGAAGGGATCACATGGGCAGATATAGTTGAAAGATAGCAGAAAATTAGTAGTAAAGTCCAGATGAAATGTATTCGTCACAATATTTGTTAAAGGAACAATGCGTTTCGGTAGTTGCGAACAACCTCATCAAGGTTTGAACTGGTAGATGAAATGAAAATCTTGACTAAAGATTGACTAAGGATAAAATTACCTGATGCTTTGATTCAAGAGCCAGTAGTGTGTGTGTGTGTGAGCTGCCTTGCCCAAGTTCCTATACCTGAAGACACTTGCCATTGGGAGTTCTAACAATGCCAGAGCATGCAGGGCTCCTAAACGCACAACCACCAGGTTAGTCGGAGGAATGTATGCCATCACTGTTGGCCAGCAGGAGGAATGTATACCCATTACTGAGGGTCAGTGGGAGGAATGTAGCCCCATAATTTTTAATCTTGGGGAGGAATGTTTAGCCACCACTGATGGTCAGTGGGAGGAATGTAGTGCCATCACTGATGGTCAGTGGGAGGAATGTAGACTGCCAATGTCAGAAGGCAGGAGAAGAAGCAGAGAATGCAAGAGCAACATTTTGGGGCAGGCCTCATCATAATAAAGTACATCTCCATGGAGAAGCCAAAACCAACAACTCTTCCCACCCTACCCCCTGTTAAAGATCTTATCAAAACTAACATAAAAAAGCCCTGTTTACTCAACTTAACCCGTCTCTGTACCCGAGTCATGTGACACAGTGAGTACCAAGTCTTCTTTCTTCTGCTTGCAATTGAGAGAAGCTCTGGTCTGCAGTGCCAATGTCCATTCCTGGAGCCATTAGTAGTGCCATCAGCCATGGGGTGGTCACAAGATCCCTCGTCCGGATCCATGAAGAGAACAGAGAGTCACTGTAGACCACTTGTCACTCCAGAGGTCAAGTGAGAGTGGGTTTTGGTGAATTTTTATGGGTTTCTTAAGATTTTAAAGAAACCCATAAAAAACTATTTTGCCCATAGTTGGGTTTCATTTTCTACCGACCATCCCACCATCTTCATTTTTATTGGCTAGCATGATGACTAATTCCACACGAGTAGCAACAACATAAGAAGAAAATTATGACAATGTTCTTATATGCAAAACAGATTTCTGGTGACCATGAGGGGGAAGATGAGAACAATGGGCTTAGTGTTGGTCACAGATGATAGAATGTGCAGTTCTGGTACACTAGCTCCAACCGCACATAATGTCAACTGTTTTTTTTTTTTAGGATGATTTACAGATACAAATGTTGTATTAGGCTGGTGGGAGCTTGCGGTGCTTTCAAAGAACAGAAAAGTCAGCTTGAAACAACTTTGTCAGCTAGATCTTCAATAGTGTTGGAGGTCACCAGAAGTCTAAAAATCATAGTTTTAATATGAAAACATATTGTCACAAAATTAATGTGATGTTGAGGTTTTGGGGCCTCACATGGTTTCTTCTTCCATGCAACAGAGTGACAAGGTACTTATTTATACAATGTAGCAACCAATAGCCCAGTGCTGCCCACCTATGACATTACTATGGTGTTATATTCCCCAAAATGTATATGTAAAGAGATACATAAATAGGAAAGTTAGGTTATGTTCCTCAATCCTTGAACATCATACCTATGCATTAAAGTGAGTCTGTTGCTACTTTAAAATCTGAAAAGCAGTCATTCCTGGAAATCCAGCAATGAACACTTACCTTCTCCACTGCCAGTGCCTCCAAACTCACCTGGGTTGAAGAAAGAAACTTGCTGAAAGATCTGGCCACTTGGTCTAGGGCAGTTCCCCTATTTTGCAAAGGTTTTATCTCACTGATCATTGGAGCCCCTTCCCAGCCCTGACCCCAGGCTGGGCCAGAAAGAGGGTGCCCGGAAGACAGGATGTGAAACCACAGCCCAGCAGGAAGTAGACCAAGGCCTGGCACTGGGCCTTGTCCTGGTGGTTGAGAATGGCTGGTCTAGGGGAATTTCCCTTATTTTAAAAAGGTGTGATCTCCCTGAACCTTGGAGCCCCTCCCCAGCCCATGTCCCAGGGATCAAGGGTAGGCTGGACGAGGGAGCCAGTCCCTGGCAGACAGGACATATTACCACAGCCCAGCAGGAGGTAGACCACAACCTGACTCTGGGCCATGGCCTGGTGGTTGAGAACGGCAGGTCTAGGGGATTTACCTTTTTTTGAAAAAGTTTTATCTCCCTGAACCTTGGAGCCCCTCCCCAGCCCATGTCCCAGGGATCAGGGCCAGAATGGGCTAGGGAGCCAGAGCCTGACATACAGGACATAATACCACAGCCCGGCAGGAGGGAAGCCACCACCTGGCTCCTGACTGTTGGAGGTTGAGAAGAGGAAGGCCAAGCAGAGGGACCCCCAGGTCACCATAGAAGTGAGACAGTAACACCGGCTATGACCTGGTGGTTGAGAACCACTGGCCGAGGGGACTTCTCCTAGTTTGAAAAGGTTTTATCTTACGTCCTGTTGTGTCTATGAGACATGAAGTGAACACAAGGGGACACAAGGCAAAAAGAAAACCTAAAAAGTGATTAAACCATTCTCTACTCTATCAGGACCTAAAAAAAAAAAGTTTGGCTTCAGATAAGGCAGCATAAAACATGTAAACAATTGGTGGGTTTGATGGCCATGGCTTACACACTGATGTCATTCCTTGCACCATATTTCATAGTAAGACTTGAAACAGCAAACAATATTGTCTGAGACCTGGTGGGTGTTAATGTAGGATGCCCCTACTAGAATTACATAGCAAACAGATAAACAAAAACCACTTGTTACATTTTTTTTTCTTTCGGGTCTTAAATTGCTTTGCAGCGATATACAATGCGGGGCATTTATCAGAAGTGTTGCGCAATATTGTGTGCCTTCATGCAACCAAGTGGGTGTAATGAGTGTCAATCAGTGTCAGGGTATGCCTGGCCCACAGCACATCAGTCATTTGTTTGCAAATACAGAGGCTAATTGTCTATTTGTGTGACTATATGTGGGTGTGTTATACATTGTGTGCAGGTTATGAATATACTTTCTGTATACTGTTATGTGTCTGCGCGAGGCATTATGCGCCGAAGTAAAATATGCGAGAAAACAATAGACCAGTGTTTAGGTCGCATAGTAAATATGCATCAGCTTGTTTAACACCACGGGTAAGAAAATAATACAAATGTTTATGTTTTCTTTATGTGTCACCTGCAGGACTCGGAGCAAAAATGGGTTTTTGTTATGGATCATCCACTATAATGCTAACTTTAATGAATGAACTTTTTTACATCTGTAATCAAGGAAATTACATTTCAAAGACTTGTTATAGTTTTCTATACTCAGTTACTTATTTTCCCCATCACTGGTGATCAGTAGGAGGAGTGTAGCCCCATCAATGGCGGTCAATGTCCCTGCCCTTGCAGGGAAGCACCGCTGTCTGGCACCACTCCTTATTGGGACGGCCGGGACCATTCGAGATCACTCCACCTGATGCCTCTAGATCACTCCACCTGATGCCTCCAGATCACTCCACCTGATGCACTCCACCTGATGCCTCCAGATCACTCCACCTGGGGGGGAATGTAGACCATCAGTTGGTGGTCAGTGAGAGGAATATTGCCCCATCACTGTTAGTCATGGGAAGGAATGTTGACATATCACTAGTGGTCAATGGGAGAAATATTGCCCCATCACTGTTAGTCATTGGTAGGAATGTAGCCCCATCACTGGTGTCCAGTGGGAAGAATGTAACCCCATTACAGGTGGTCAGTGGGGGGAATGTAGTCCATCATTGGTGGTCAGTGGGAGGAATATGCCCATCACTGGTGTCCAGTGGGAAGAATGTATCCCCAATAATGGTGGTCAATGGGAGGAATGTAGCTCCATCACCGGTGTCCAGTGGGAAAAATGTCGCCCCATTATTGGTGGTCATTGGAAGATAATGTAGCCCATCACTGGTGGTCATTGCGGAATGTAGCCCCATCAATGGTGGTCAGTGGGAGGAATGTAGCCCCATTACTAGTGTTCAGTTTAGCCCCATTCCAGGTGGTCAGTTAAAGAAATGTAGCCCTGTCACTGTTGGCCAGCAAGAGGAATGTATCCCCATTACTGGCGGTCAGTGGGAGAAATGTAGTCCCATCAATTGTGGTCATTGGGGGGGAATGTAGCCCCAGCACCTTTAATAATGCGTCAATTAGAATGTATCCCCAGCACCGTTAGTCATGTGTCAGTTGGAGGGATGGAGCCCATAATTGGGGGTCAGTGGGAGGAATGTATTCTATCACTAGTGGTAAGTGGAAGGAATGTAGACCTGTCACTGTTGGCCAGCAGGAGGAATGTATCCCCATTACCGGAATGTAGCCCCATCAATGGTGGTCAGTGGGTGGGAATATAGCCCCAGCACCGTTAGTCATAGGAAGAAATGTACCCCCATTACTGGTGTCCAGTGGGAAGAATTTAACCCAATTATAGGTGGTCAGTGGGAGGAATGTAGCCCATGGTTGGTGGTCAGTGGGAGGAATGTAGCCTTTTCATTATTGGCCAGCAGGAGGAATGTATCCCCATTACCGGTGGTCAGTGGGAGAAATGTAGCCCCAGAGCCGTTAGTCATGGGAAGAAATGTACCCCCATTACTGGTGATCAGTGGGAGGAATGTAGTCCAATTACAGGTGGTCAGTGGGAGGAATGTAGCCCATGGTTGGTGGTCAGTGGGAGGAATGTAGCCTTGCCATTGTTGGCCAGCAGGAGGAACACAAATAGTACAAAAATGCCAAAAAAAACATTTTTGAACATGATCTAAAAATCAGTAAAAATATCAATGTGAAAAAAATACTAATTTCAAAAACAACTTTAACCAAAGAATGTAATATGAACCCAAGAACATAAGCAGTACAACTGTACAACAATACAAGATAGAGAACACTAATACTTTCCTTTTTGTGGTTACATCGCAGGCTGGCATGATGGCTGTGTTCGTTGTATGGTTGGCATCCCAACCGCTTCTGTAATTGCCACCATCCTTTGTTTCATTGGGGTGGCATTGTTTTGTGGATGTGGCCATGAAGCTCTGAGTGGAACCGAAAAACTGATTGAGACGTACTTTTCCAAGAACTACCAGGAATATGAATACCTCATTCACGTGTAAGTAAACATCGTGATTTATCATTCCAAGGTAATCCAAAGAGACTCTGACAATCTACAGTCCAATGCAAGTTCACGGCAATAGAAGAAGTAATATACTCACCTCCCCGATGGTCCATGTGTCCCACCTTCCCATCATATCAGTGAGCAAAAACGTTATTCCATCTTGTCTCATGGTACACAATTATTTGCCCAGTGGCTTCCACCATCTTGCCTATAGCATAGCATAGAGGCTTCGATCACAGCCCAATCCTTAAAGACCCATTAGCCCATAATGTGACAGTCATCTCTGCTTAAGGCAGGGGGTGAGGTGAGAATTGGAAATCAGGGTTTAGCTTTTGACTTACACCCAAATGTAATGTAATACTGCATTATGGCCACTAGATGGAACTAAGGAGCATAGTATTTATTTCCTATGCTCCTCAGCTCCATCTAATGGCCACAATGACGCATTACTGAACATTACATTCAACCTGAAAATAAAATACACTAAAAATTTTTGTTTGTTGCCTCTATTTGCATAGAACAAATGTTCACGGAGGTTGACAGTGTGAATGACTCTGTAAATTGTTTATAAATAGACCCCTGAGTTTACATGCTTGGAGAATGGAATGGTTCACTCTAACACTGAGGTCTCTATAACTAACCTTTTCCAGTGTAACTCTTTCCTCTTCTCTCTTAAAGGATTGATGCTTTCCAGTATGTGATATACGGCATCGCCATCTTCTTTTTCTTGTTCGGGATCCTGCTCCTGGCTGAGGGATTTTATACCACAACTGCAATCAAACACATTTTAGGAGAATTCAAGCCACCACCAAAAGGCGGCCTTATCTCTACCGTAACTGGAGGACCACCCAAACCTAGAAGTGTCAGGGGGAGATATCCAATTCACACCTTAGAACTCCTCTGCCGCTGCTTAGGGAAGTGGCTGGGACACCCAGACAAGGTAAAATTAAAGATGAGAAAAATATTGTCTAAATACAAGAGTTATGTGTCTTCTTCCTTGAATCTTGGTGAACTTTGTGTAGTTCTTCCAGATCTGTGCAGTAATCCCGTGTGAGACTTGGAGCTTCCTGTAATAAAGACCATTCACTCCTGCTCTCTCACCTCATCTCCCTCCCCCCTCCTCACCTCAATAAGCCCACCTTGTCTCCTTTCCCCTCCTTATCTCCATAAGCCCTACTCACCTCCACCAGCCCTCCTTATCTCCATAAGCCCTACTCACCTCCACCGGCCCTCCTTATCTCCATGAGCCCTACTCACCTCCATATGTCCTCCATATCTCCATAATCCCTATTCACCCCTATCAGCCCTCCTTAGCTCCATGAGCCCTACCGACCTCCATTACCCTCCTTATCTCCCTCCCGCCTCCTCACCTCAATTAGCCCTCTTTATCTCCATAAGCACTACTCAACTCTAAAAGTCCTCCTTATCTCCATAACCCCTCCTTGTACACAGGTAGAGAGCACAGTATGTTATCAGCTGACAAAATTGCTGGTAGAATTGACATCTATATTTTAGCACTTATTGGACAGATATAACAAAGCACTCTTATATTGAGAAGAGCAAAATGGAGCAAATGAGAGAAGTGCTTTGTTCGGGTCTACATACAGTTTAAGAGTTGATTTTGCTCTGGTAAAGTGTGATATGCTATGTTCATTGCAGTTTGTTGGAGTCACATACGTTGTCACCATCTTTTGGATCCTAATCTTCGCCTGCTCTGCTGTTCCCGTCTACATTTACTTCAACACCTGGGTGACCTGCCAATCTATTGCAGCTCCCGCAAAGACCTCAGCTGGCATTAGTAACTTGTGTGCCGATGCCCGCATGTATGGTAAGTGTGAAGTCTCAGCTATGACTGAGGATGTCAACATATTTTGATCATTCTTTTCCTAGAAGGAACTTTTCTGTTCACTTGTTCGTCTTTATAAAAACAACATACTGTTTATAAAGTTTTTTTTTTTAGCTATGCTAAATGGCCAAAGGTTTGTGGTCCCCTGACCATCACCCCTATATCAGCTTGTTGGTCATCTCACTCCAAACCATGGCCATTTATATGGAGTTGGCCACCCTTTTGAGGCTATACCAGCCCCCACTCTTCTGGGAAGGCTTTCCACAAGTGTTTGGAGGGTGTCTGAGGAAATGTGTGCCCATTTTTTAGATCAGTTACTGATGTTGGATGAGAAGACCTGGCTCACAACTGCAGTTCCAATTCATCAAGGTGCTCAGTAGGGTTGAGGTCAGCTACTGATGTTGGATGAGAAAATTTGGTTTACATTTGGCATTCCAAGCATCCCAAAGGTATTGAGTAGGGTTCAGGTCAGGTGTTGATGTTCGATGAGATGACCTGGCTCATATTTGACATTCCAGTTCATTCCAAAGGTGTTCAGTAGGGTTTAGGTCAGGGCTCTGTGCAGGACACTCAGGTTCCTTCACACCAAACTGGTCACACCATGTCTTTATGGAGCTGGCTTGGTCTTCACCAAACGCTGATCACAAGGCTAGAAGAGCACAATTGTCTACAATATCTTTGTGTGTTGAAGTAATAACAGGACCCTTCAATGGAAACACTTGAAGTCAGTTATTTGGTTGAGATATCATATACTTCTGGCCAGGCAGTTGTATATTATTAGTCAACTCAACAACCAATGGGAAGATAGTATCATCCCATTCAAGAAATAATCAATTTAACACTTTTAATTGCACAACATGTGTCTTTACAGAGCCTCCCAAAGCAATTCACTATCGCTTCTTTTCCTACAGGAGTTCTGCCATGGAATGCTTTCCCTGGAAAAGTGTGCGGAGCCAGTCTACTTGCCATTTGCAAAACCAATGAGGTTTGATCATTTTTTATTTAATTATTTACAATACTTTTACTGAATTGATAGTCCTTCATTGCTTTAAACAAGGGTCAGTTAAGTTAGCCATACACTCTTAGAATTTTGGTTGATTCACAGGAAGCCAAAATTCCAACAGTTGTTGGCCCCGATGACTGGACAAAAGTCGATTACTCAGACCTTTGTTGAAGGAGACGGGCCAACAATTATTGCCAAACAGTGACTAAAGCCAATCAGCTTTAGTCACTGTTCAGTTATTCAGCAGTCAGGATACAATAGCCCAGCAGGGGAGATTGCTCCATCCATGCCATCTATTGTGGCCAAAGAGGATGCTAGTAGAGCTTCCCTGGGTGCTTCGCTGATTTGAGGTCTGACAGGTTTACCAGTCAGACTCCTATGCAGGTGGTACTATGGGCCCATGGTTTGACAGGGATCCCCCACATAATAGTCATGGTTATTTAAAGTAGTAATGGTTGGTGGTGGTGGAGGGGAAGGAGTCCCAGCTTCTGTCCAAGCTGGCCCAACACATTCAGTAATCTCTTCAGTTTCAGGAGATATTCCATGGATAGTATTTGACATGCCATTGAACAGATATCATTTATATGTAAGAATTAGATGGAGTAGGGGTGCTAATAAACATTTATATTAAGTTAACAATGGAAATGTCATAATCTACATATTAAAGCCTAAAATGTATCTAAACCTAAGAACAGAAATGTAACGTATTGCATCTTATCACGCCTTAGTTGTGGTGGCTGCATCACTCAATACAGAATACAAATGATCTCCAGGCCAATAACTCTTTCTATCTTTCTCTTTAGTTTCAGATGACATTCCACCTCTTCATTGTTGCATTTGTGGGTGCAGCTGCAGCTCTTGTGGCTCTGGTGAGTTGTGCCGATACTTCTTATTGGGTAACATAGAAGCAAACCAAATATACAAACTGTCTTACATTGCCCAGCAATTCCAATTCACATTTACAACCACCTTTACTGTCGACACCAACCTTCCAATTTAGGAGTCAGTCGACTAAAATGATACTTGAGACTTTCGTTTTTGATACATACTGGAGAGTTTAACCATTTAAAATGTATTGTATCTTTCGGGTAAAACATTTGATGCTGTACTCCAGGCACATATAAAAGATGCAAATTAATGCAGCACTGTAATCATTAAAGTAGAACTGAGGCCAACACTTGTTTTTATTTTGGATAGAGTTATGGAGGGTTATAACCCCTGTTAGCTTTGTTTTGCCATCTGTATCCAACTGGGGAGATTTAACTTTACTTCCTGTCTGATAGCCACAACAGGAAGTGAGAGGAAACCCCTTGAAAGAGAGGGAAATCTCTGGCAGGTTCACTGGAACTAGTGTCCCCATTGGAAAATTTCCCATCTATTCCTGTTCTGATGACAACTCAAAATTTGGAATAGTCACTAGGGCAAATAGAGAGGGGTAATCCCCCTAATGGGGACACAGACAGCCATAAAAATCCCTCTCCACTCCATCCAAAACAAAAGGTTTTGGCTTCAGTTGGACTTTAACACATCAATAAATGTTTTATGCAGTGTAAGTACCTGACATACTGTATATTGAGTGGGCCTTCCATAATGTTGGGTCTCAAGTAGGCCCATATTGTGCTGATCAAGTAGGATATATAGAAATATATTGGATGGACCTGGTTTGATGTTGGGTCCTAAGTGGACCCATATTCAGCTACTCAAGTAGGTTATATAGACATATATTGATTGGGCAGTATGATGTTGGGTCCTAGGTGGACCCATATTGAGCTGCTTAAGTAGGATGTATAGACGTATATTAAATGGGTCTTGCATGATGTCTTGAATGGGCCGTATGATGTTGGGTCCTAAGTAGACCCATATAAAGCTGCTCAAGTACGATATATAGAGAGATATTCAGTGGGTCTTGTATGATTTTGGGTCCTAAGTGGACCCATATAAAGCTGCCCAAGTATAATATGTAGACATATATTGAATGGGTTCCAAGCCAAATGAGTGAAAAGTCCAAAGACCATTTCATTATCCAGTCAAACCGTTGTATTATTAATTTAATTATTAAAGACTCTTGGGACTTTTGTACCCATTTGGTCTGGCACCCTACCGTCTGGGCTCTTAGACGCTTTTGGGGGGGGGGAAAGGTGCGGGCAGGAGGACCCTCTGGTTGGCAGCTCCTGGTAGCCAGTGCATTCCAGGTCGCTAAGACATGCATGGCCCTTACACATCACCCCGCCCAGCTCTTAGCAACACTCTAGGACACTTGCCAGGAAGGGGGCGGCAGGTACACTGCAAACATTGTGCAGCAGAGCGGCCTGGCCACCTACGTGACACAAAGGTATGCCTCCAACAGTTTCAGGCTGCCTCATTAATGAGACGACCCTGTATTTAGCACATCTAATTGGCTACCAGTCCTGCCAGTCTGAATTCGGCAGTACAGGGTAGTCATGCCAAGACAAATTTAGACATTTACACTGGTTACAGGTAAGAAACATATCATGCTTTATTGATGAATACATGACTGCATAAATGTGTGTCTTTTATATCTGCCTTGAGTTAACCAGAGTAATGGTGCTTTATAACTGTTTTATGGGCATGCAAGCATTAACTAGAAAGGGTCATACAGCACAGTATTGTAGCATGAGCCGTCCACCCTGCAGGTTATCCTTCTTACATACCAGTATCATAGCTGTCATTAACATCCTTCCTAATGAAGGGATAACAGGACATGAACCCGATGTCAGAAAGAATGCAGAGAACCTTAAATAAATGAATTTAGAGAAAGTTCAGATGAGAATTTGTATTTCACATAGTACTGCCCCTCTATGGGCGACAAGCAAAACACAGTTATTAGAGTCTGTCCTACAGATATGATTTAGACTGTTCAGTAAAGGAGAACTATGAGGGGAGCGATTTTCACTCAGCCTCCTAATCTGAGCCGACCTTTAACAATGGAACTGTCACAGGTCGGCTCAGTAGATCGGGAAGTGAGCGAACACATACCGGCGCTCGCTCACTTCTCGATCTATCCCTGCAGAGAGCCGTGACTGTCACTCACGGCTCTCTGCAGGGATTCCCCCCTCCCCTGTCAGATCCTCCAGCGCTGACCACTGACTGGCAGAGCGGACGGGGGAGGGGGCGAGCACAGCTGGCTCTGCCTCTGGATAGGTAGAGCCAGCTGTCAATCCCGCAGCTGGGTGGATCTCGACAGCGATGTCGGGATCCGTTCCGGCGTCTCAGTATATAGGGAGCTGTAGCTCGCGGTATACTGAGCTTTGGGTCACGGGAGAACGCTAGTTTGTGTTCTCCCGTGACCCTTAGGAGAACTGTGGGGAAAGGCCCTAACCCCATAGTTCTCCTTTAAGCTGTGAAAATGATAAAATGGATGTTGAAAACAAAATGTAGCTGGTTATGATCTATCAGACACCCCACAGTCTTGGCAATGAAGAGATGCTGTCATTTCATAAAAATGTTTAAAGAAGAAATCCAGGAAAACCAAAAACTTACCTCTGCAGTAGGGCTACCCCAGCACCGCAAGGGTTAAGTGCTGGTTTTGTCTAGGGGGGCTCAAATAGAGAAGCTATACTCATCTGTTCCTCGGTCCTGCCAGGCTGCTAGACCGGTCCCTAAAGCTTCTTCTTGAGGCTCCAGCGGTCTGAGGAACGCTGACATTGTCATGTCTTATGCAGGTCCATTGACTTGCAGTAGACGTGAGGACACCAAGGAACAGTTCGTAGCCAGAGCAACGGCAGGGGGAGACAGGATAATGGTGATTGCTCTAGGACCGAGGATCAGGTAAGTAAAACTGCTTTATTTGAGTCCCCTGCAGGGATAGCCCCACTGCAAGGGTAAGTTTTTGATTTCTCTAGAGTTCTTCTTTAACTACATAGAGCATTGTAAAATATATTTTATAATGTTCCTTGTTAACACTACTGGGGGTGATGGATGCCTGCAACTCCCCACTGCCCACTGTGGCTTCCCTGCTACATCATTAGCGTGCCCATTCAGAGATGCAGATGATACACATTAGTGGCCTGGTGGTGGTGTTGATGGTGGTGCTGGTGGTGTTGGCGGTTGTGGTGATGCTGGTAGTGTTGGTGGTGCTGGTGTTAGTGGTGTTGTTGTTGATGGTGGTGGTGGTGGTGTTGGTGGTGATGTTGGTGGTGTTGTTGTTGCTGGTGGTGGAGTGTCAGAACCTCAGTGTGCAGCAGGGAGACACAGGTATCCAACACAATGGGAAATGTTGGATGCTGGAAAATCTATTGGCACTTCTAACTCTGGAATGAACATTGGCTGCAACAGAAGAGCAAATGGTGAGTATTGTAAATGTATGTGTAACACCTAGACTTATTGCTTGTGTCTTGGTTACCTACTGTAGATGGCCTGAGTTTATTTTTATGGTATTATAATTTCAAGAACAGGAAATAGGGAATGTGGAAGAGGTGGACAGTAATCAGGTAGCTGGGGTATTAAAGAGTAAGATTGGAGGCAGGGCGTATGGAAGAGAAGATCTTTAACTAAGAGGTGTACAAATGATGTAACATAGAGGCTAGTAGGTGGAAAGTCCTAAAAGGGATACCGAACAATTTGCAAGTCTCTTAAAGTCAAAGTACAAAAAGTGAATATGTGGCCAGGCTATGGATAATCAACTATTTGCATATACTAAACAGGCAGTAAATGAGCTTTAAAAGCCCTCGTTGGCCTCTGTACCTGCAGGTGCAGGGGAGCAATTCACCTTCAAAGCTCACAACAGAAGAAAGTGGATTTTCAAGGAGGAAAGCTCCAAAAGCAGAACATAATGTCCAGATTTGACTTTATTGAGACTCTTTTATGAGAAGAAGCCAACATATTTTGGAGGTTCAAAGCCCCCCCCCCTTCCCCATCAGGGCATGGTACTGTTGAACAAAATGTGTACTGGACTGATAAAATTAGAGGGATTCTAAGGGGTTGCCTCAAGTTGGTTAACTGGCATCTGGAGTGGTCATCAGAATAATCGCCCCTCAGGGTCCCTCCACACAAAGTGTGTAGTAGACTGATAAAACTGGAGGAACCCTGAGGGGTAATTAGTCTAATGACCACTCCAGATGCCAGTTCAGCAGTACCAAGCCCTGATGAAAGGGGACCCTGTAAACCCCCAAAAAAACATTGGATTTTCATCATGTAAGAATCATGAAAGTGATTCTGTCCAGATTTGACTTTATTGAGACTCTTTTATGAGACAAAGCCAACATATTTTGGAGGTTCAAAGCCCCCCCCCCTTCCCCATCAGGGCATGGTACTGTTGAACAAAATGTGTACTGGACTGATAAAATTAGAGGGATTCTAAAGGGATGCCTCAAGCTGGTTAACTGGCATCTGGAGTGGTCATCAGACTAATTACCCCTCAGGGTCCCTCCACACAAAGTGGGGAGGGACCCTGTAGGGTAATTAGCCTGTTGACCACTCCAGATGCCAGTTCAGCAGTACCAAGCCCTGATGAAAGGGGACTCTTTGAACCCCCAAAACACATTGGATTTTTATGATGTGAGAATCTTAATCTTAAGTGATTCTGGACGTTATACCTTCTGCTTTTGGAGCTTTCCTCCATGCACGTCCAATCCCTACTGGAGCAAAGAGTCAACCTTTGGCCAACACTCCCGGGAGAGCTTCCTAAGAAGAATCATTCCCTTTACACTGACTGAGAACATCTGAGATCCAGCATCCCACACCTTCATCCGTAACTACAGAGGCCAGTGTGGGCTTTAAAGCTCACATACTGCTGGTTATAAATATGTAAATCCTTGAACGCCCATAGCCAGGCCACAGGTATACTTGAAGGTTCAAACAATGATGCCAATTATTTTTGAAGTATCCTAGCAATATCATAACACAGGATATATTATATATATATTATAACAGACAAAACATTGCTGCTTATACATTGTGTATTCTCTCTTCTGTATGTTCCTTTGCAGCTCACTTATATGATAGGGGCAGCTTTCAACTATGCTGTGCTTCGAGTTACTGGCCAGGCCGGTCGTTCAAAGTTTTAAGCTCCGAGCTGGGGGACTAAGTACAAACTGTCTTCAAACTATGTTCGTAATCTCATCGTTTAATTCCTCTTCTCTTAATGGACTCATAATAATATGGATAGCGCTTTTCCATAGCTGGTCTGCCCTTTGTATCCAGCTTTCAACGTCCTATTGGCGTAGATAAATTTCATCTCTACGTCGAAGCACTGTATACCTAAAGATCGAGGTTCTTCGGCTCATGTCACTGAAGCAATGGACACGAGTTTGTTTGCTGTAGATTAGAATGTAATGGGTGAAGGTGTGCAGAATTGGCATTAAAGTATACTCAAGTATTGTGTTAAAAGTCCACACCATATAGAAGCTAAGTATTGCTTGTTTTGGGCATGTAAAGCGAGATATGTATATTGTATAATATTCATTAAAACATATAGTCCTACACTTATTATTTTCTAGGATGGGTCTCCCAACTTTGGTTTATCTTGGATTGTTCTTCCACAATAATCATTGCTAGTTCTCAGGGGGCTGATTTATAGATCTCCAGTCTAGCGTATAGCTGGGCGAATGCCATTCGCACGGCATTACCATCACTAGGAAATTCCTATGCTCCCCAGCGCCATCTAGTGGCAGTAGTCCTGTGTGAGCGGCATTCTCCCAGCTATATGCCGGATGGAAGATTTATCTTTTAGCCCCATACTCTTATATTGGTTTACCAGAATCCTTATTTTTAACAACCCACCAGCCCCAGTTCTAAGTACAATTCTTGAACCCAAGAAAAGCACTTATACATCTCAAGTCACTTAGAAATATCACATTTAGCGCCATACTCCAACAACTATAAAATAAGATAAGAACATCTTTCTAAATGACTTGCAATATACAACAATCCCTTAGTCCTAGATTCTACTGACCATTTTGGCTCAAAGGTTTTGTATGAGAAATGCCTAAGCCCCCTTATTGCACTCGGCTTGGACTACACCATAGATCCTCCATTGCATTTAACGCTTACTGTTAACCCTTCCTGCTTACTATTGCTAGAATACGGTTCCTTTCGCCACCATATCATAATTAATGTGCCTGTGGCCAAATATGGATTTCAAATAATCACAGAAGCTCTTCCTATGTGTAACTGTTCGGTAATACACTTAAATCCCAACTAAACTTTTAGTGAAAATCATCTATATACATCCCAGGTGCACCAAGAAAGGTGTGTAGACACATCCTAAGTAGCAAAGCATGTCTCCTGCTGAGAAGGATCCTTGTTCTTTGAGAGGAAGCAGTGGTCTCCTCTGCAGAGGTCCGACATGGCCTCTGCTAGGTCAGAGATAGAGCTTTCCAATCAGCAAATCTCATGGTTTCAGCTGGCTAGAGAGCTCTAGCTTTGCCTTAGCAGAGGATGTGTCAGACCCCTACAGAGACACCATTGCTTGCTCATAGAGAGCAAGTGCCCCACTTTGCAGCATGCTGGCAGGGAACAGGCTTTTCTACTTTCTATAGACCAACTGTAAGACTTTGCACACCTTAAAGTCTAGGCCTGGGCCAAGATACATACCCAGGAAGTGGAGATAGGGACATATCTTAGAGTGAGATCCAATTATTAGCGATCACACTTGAGAAGGGACTTTTATCAGTGGTCTTTTGTTAATAGTGGCTTTGCATATTTTGCACTTGATGGGCAAGCTCTTCTGCGATCCTCCCATTCAGCACTATGCGATGAACTAACGGGAATACTAAAGCTTTACTGAGTCAATATTCGAAGAAATTAATGAAAATGGTCCCAGTCTATATTATAATCCTACTTCTCAGATTATAAATGGGGCAAGGATTTTTTTTACATAACCATGTCTTCTCCATATCTGGTATAATATCTTTAAAGTTGAACTCCTGTCAGCATTCATTTGCTATTAGTGATAAGGCCATCTTCTTGATGACCTCAATCCTTCTTTAGTCTTCTCAAAGTTGCCTTCTTCAGTCTTCTCAAAGTTGCCTTTTTTGGTCTTCTCAATGTTGCCTTCTCTAGTCTTTTCAACGTTGCCTTCTTCAGTCTTCTCAAAGTTGCCTTCTCTAGTCTTCTCAACGTTGCCTTCTTCAGTCTTCTCAACGTTGCCTTCTTTAGTCTTCTCAACGCTGCCTTCTTTAGTCTTCTCAATGCTGCCTTCTTTAGCCTTCTCAACGTTACCTTCTTTAGTCTTCTCAGTGCTGCCTTCTTTAGTTTTCTCAGTGCTGCCTTCTTTAGCCTTCTCAACGCTGCCTTCTTTAGTCTTCTCAATGTTACCTTTTTTATTCTTCTCAACGTTGCCTTTTTAGTCTTCTCAACGTTGCCTTACTTAGTCTTCTCAAAGTTGGTAGATTCATCCAGACTGAAAGGTCCCCACCAATATTGCAGAGTGTACACTGTTGACCAGTCACCATTGCCCTCTTCCCTTAAGCCGGTTATATTACCCTTGTGGTCCTCAGAAGGCAGTGCTGACTAGAGTCAGTGGATCCCTCCGATCTGTCCTTGCCCCTGGATGCCCATTCACTTTGATGGGCAGTTCATATAAATATGAGGGATGCCTTTTATTTGCAGGGATAGATAAGCTCAGAGTCAGTGGATCCCTCCGATCTGTCTTTGCCCCTGGATGCCCATTCACTTTGATGGACAGTTCATATAAATATGAAGGATGCCTTTTAATTGCAGGGATAGATAAGCAAAGGGAGGTTGGAGAGCAGAACGACCCTGGAGTTCAGCTTTAATTACTCCCCTAGACTTATACAGCGGACACATTGGGCAGACACAGAGGTAGGTATTCCTAGCATAGCCTAGACACGAAAACCAGGGGAAAAACTTGGGACTAGGAATCTCCATATCGGAGATGAGCCCTACACTATTAATTCCCCTTTCCACTAACCGGCTTGTAATACATAAACCTGTTATATTGTTGTATTTAGGTAAAGCCTGTTAAACATGTCATGTCAATGTATCACGCATTGTAGACCACCAAACCATGTATAATCATTGTAATAAGCATCATCAAGGCAAGTGCATAACAGCGTCAACTAATGAGTTCATGGAAAGAAAAAAAAAATAAACTGCCTTCTTATATAATCAATAGACGGGCAGAATATATATATTTATTTATTATAAAATGTAATATCCACATTGATAACATCAGACAGGTTAAAATGTCACTTTCCCTGGAAAAGTGTGCGGAGCCAGTCTACTTGCCATTTGCAAAACCAATGAGGTTTGATCATTTTTTATTTAATTATTTACAATACTTTTACTGAATTGATAGTCCTTCATTGCTTTAAACAAGGGTCAGTTAAGTTAGCCATACACTCTTAGAATTTTGGTTGATTCACAGGAAGCCAAAATTCCAACAGTTGTTGGCCCCGATGACTGGACAAAAGTCGATTACTCAGACCTTTGTTGAAGGAGACGGGCCAACAATTATTGCCAAACAGTGACTAAAGCCAATCAGCTTTAGTCACTGTTCAGTTATTCAGCAGTCAGGATACAATAGCCCAGCAGGGGAGATTGCTCCATCCATGCCATCTATTGTGGCCAAAGAGGATGCTAGTAGAGCTTCCCTGGGTGCTTCGCTGATTTGAGGTCTGACAGGTTTACCAGTCAGACTCCTATGCAGGTGGTACTATGGGCCCATGGTTTGACAGGGATCCCCCACATAATAGTCATGGTTATTTAAAGTAGTAATGGTTGGTGGTGGTGGAGGGGAAGGAGTCCCAGCTTCTGTCCAAGCTGGCCCAACACATTCAGTAATCTCTTCAGTTTCAGGAGATATTCCATGGATAGTATTTGACATGCCATTGAACAGATATCATTTATATGTAAGAATTAGATGGAGTAGGGGTGCTAATAAACATTTATATTAAGTTAACAATGGAAATGTCATAATCTACATATTAAAGCCTAAAATGTATCTAAACCTAAGAACAGAAATGTAACGTATTGCATCTTATCACGCCTTAGTTGTGGTGGCTGCATCACTCAATACAGAATACAAATGATCTCCAGGCCAATAACTCTTTCTATCTTTCTCTTTAGTTTCAGATGACATTCCACCTCTTCATTGTTGCATTTGTGGGTGCAGCTGCAGCTCTTGTGGCTCTGGTGAGTTGTGCCGATACTTCTTATTGGGTAACATAGAAGCAAACCAAATATACAAACTGTCTTACATTGCCCAGCAATTCCAATTCACATTTACAACCACCTTTACTGTCGACACCAACCTTCCAATTTAGGAGTCAGTCGACTAAAATGATACTTGAGACTTTCGTTTTTGATACATACTGGAGAGTTTAACCATTTAAAATGTATTGTATCTTTCGGGTAAAACATTTGATGCTGTACTCCAGGCACATATAAAAGATGCAAATTAATGCAGCACTGTAATCATTAAAGTAGAACTGAGGCCAACACTTGTTTTTATTTTGGATAGAGTTATGGAGGGTTATAACCCCTGTTAGCTTTGTTTTGCCATCTGTATCCAACTGGGGAGATTTAACTTTACTTCCTGTCTGATAGCCACAACAGGAAGTGAGAGGAAACCCCTTGAAAGAGAGGGAAATCTCTGGCAGGTTCACTGGAACTAGTGTCCCCATTGGAAAATTTCCCATCTATTCCTGTTCTGATGACAACTCAAAATTTGGAATAGTCACTAGGGCAAATAGAGAGGGGTAATCCCCCTAATGGGGACACAGACAGCCATAAAAATCCCTCTCCACTCCATCCAAAACAAAAGGTTTTGGCTTCAGTTGGACTTTAACACATCAATAAATGTTTTATGCAGTGTAAGTACCTGACATACTGTATATTGAGTGGGCCTTCCATAATGTTGGGTCTCAAGTAGGCCCATATTGTGCTGATCAAGTAGGATATATAGAAATATATTGGATGGACCTGGTTTGATGTTGGGTCCTAAGTGGACCCATATTCAGCTACTCAAGTAGGTTATATAGACATATATTGATTGGGCAGTATGATGTTGGGTCCTAGGTGGACCCATATTGAGCTGCTTAAGTAGGATGTATAGACGTATATTAAATGGGTCTTGCATGATGTCTTGAATGGGCCGTATGATGTTGGGTCCTAAGTAGACCCATATAAAGCTGCTCAAGTACGATATATAGAGAGATATTCAGTGGGTCTTGTATGATTTTGGGTCCTAAGTGGACCCATATAAAGCTGCCCAAGTATAATATGTAGACATATATTGAATGGGTTCCAAGCCAAATGAGTGAAAAGTCCAAAGACCATTTCATTATCCAGTCAAACCGTTGTATTATTAATTTAATTATTAAAGACTCTTGGGACTTTTGTACCCATTTGGTCTGGCACCCTACCGTCTGGGCTCTTAGACGCTTTTGGGGGGGGGGAAAGGTGCGGGCAGGAGGACCCTCTGGTTGGCAGCTCCTGGTAGCCAGTGCATTCCAGGTCGCTAAGACATGCATGGCCCTTACACATCACCCCGCCCAGCTCTTAGCAACACTCTAGGACACTTGCCAGGAAGGGGGCGGCAGGTACACTGCAAACATTGTGCAGCAGAGCGGCCTGGCCACCTACGTGACACAAAGGTATGCCTCCAACAGTTTCAGGCTGCCTCATTAATGAGACGACCCTGTATTTAGCACATCTAATTGGCTACCAGTCCTGCCAGTCTGAATTCGGCAGTACAGGGTAGTCATGCCAAGACAAATTTAGACATTTACACTGGTTACAGGTAAGAAACATATCATGCTTTATTGATGAATACATGACTGCATAAATGTGTGTCTTTTATATCTGCCTTGAGTTAACCAGAGTAATGGTGCTTTATAACTGTTTTATGGGCATGCAAGCATTAACTAGAAAGGGTCATACAGCACAGTATTGTAGCATGAGCCGTCCACCCTGCAGGTTATCCTTCTTACATACCAGTATCATAGCTGTCATTAACATCCTTCCTAATGAAGGGATAACAGGACATGAACCCGATGTCAGAAAGAATGCAGAGAACCTTAAATAAATGAATTTAGAGAAAGTTCAGATGAGAATTTGTATTTCACATAGTACTGCCCCTCTATGGGCGACAAGCAAAACACAGTTATTAGAGTCTGTCCTACAGATATGATTTAGACTGTTCAGTAAAGGAGAACTATGAGGGGAGCGATTTTCACTCAGCCTCCTAATCTGAGCCGACCTTTAACAATGGAACTGTCACAGGTCGGCTCAGTAGATCGGGAAGTGAGCGAACACATACCGGCGCTCGCTCACTTCTCGATCTATCCCTGCAGAGAGCCGTGACTGTCACTCACGGCTCTCTGCAGGGATTCCCCCCTCCCCTGTCAGATCCTCCAGCGCTGACCACTGACTGGCAGAGCGGACGGGGGAGGGGGCGAGCACAGCTGGCTCTGCCTCTGGATAGGTAGAGCCAGCTGTCAATCCCGCAGCTGGGTGGATCTCGACAGCGATGTCGGGATCCGTTCCGGCGTCTCAGTATATAGGGAGCTGTAGCTCGCGGTATACTGAGCTTTGGGTCACGGGAGAACGCTAGTTTGTGTTCTCCCGTGACCCTTAGGAGAACTGTGGGGAAAGGCCCTAACCCCATAGTTCTCCTTTAAGCTGTGAAAATGATAAAATGGATGTTGAAAACAAAATGTAGCTGGTTATGATCTATCAGACACCCCACAGTCTTGGCAATGAAGAGATGCTGTCATTTCATAAAAATGTTTAAAGAAGAAATCCAGGAAAACCAAAAACTTACCTCTGCAGTAGGGCTACCCCAGCACCGCAAGGGTTAAGTGCTGGTTTTGTCTAGGGGGGCTCAAATAGAGAAGCTATACTCATCTGTTCCTCGGTCCTGCCAGGCTGCTAGACCGGTCCCTAAAGCTTCTTCTTGAGGCTCCAGCGGTCTGAGGAACGCTGACATTGTCATGTCTTATGCAGGTCCATTGACTTGCAGTAGACGTGAGGACACCAAGGAACAGTTCGTAGCCAGAGCAACGGCAGGGGGAGACAGGATAATGGTGATTGCTCTAGGACCGAGGATCAGGTAAGTAAAACTGCTTTATTTGAGTCCCCTGCAGGGATAGCCCCACTGCAAGGGTAAGTTTTTGATTTCTCTAGAGTTCTTCTTTAACTACATAGAGCATTGTAAAATATATTTTATAATGTTCCTTGTTAACACTACTGGGGGTGATGGATGCCTGCAACTCCCCACTGCCCACTGTGGCTTCCCTGCTACATCATTAGCGTGCCCATTCAGAGATGCAGATGATACACATTAGTGGCCTGGTGGTGGTGTTGATGGTGGTGCTGGTGGTGTTGGCGGTTGTGGTGATGCTGGTAGTGTTGGTGGTGCTGGTGTTAGTGGTGTTGTTGTTGATGGTGGTGGTGGTGGTGTTGGTGGTGATGTTGGTGGTGTTGTTGTTGCTGGTGGTGGAGTGTCAGAACCTCAGTGTGCAGCAGGGAGACACAGGTATCCAACACAATGGGAAATGTTGGATGCTGGAAAATCTATTGGCACTTCTAACTCTGGAATGAACATTGGCTGCAACAGAAGAGCAAATGGTGAGTATTGTAAATGTATGTGTAACACCTAGACTTATTGCTTGTGTCTTGGTTACCTACTGTAGATGGCCTGAGTTTATTTTTATGGTATTATAATTTCAAGAACAGGAAATAGGGAATGTGGAAGAGGTGGACAGTAATCAGGTAGCTGGGGTATTAAAGAGTAAGATTGGAGGCAGGGCGTATGGAAGAGAAGATCTTTAACTAAGAGGTGTACAAATGATGTAACATAGAGGCTAGTAGGTGGAAAGTCCTAAAAGGGATACCGAACAATTTGCAAGTCTCTTAAAGTCAAAGTACAAAAAGTGAATATGTGGCCAGGCTATGGATAATCAACTATTTGCATATACTAAACAGGCAGTAAATGAGCTTTAAAAGCCCTCGTTGGCCTCTGTACCTGCAGGTGCAGGGGAGCAATTCACCTTCAAAGCTCACAACAGAAGAAAGTGGATTTTCAAGGAGGAAAGCTCCAAAAGCAGAACATAATGTCCAGATTTGACTTTATTGAGACTCTTTTATGAGAAGAAGCCAACATATTTTGGAGGTTCAAAGCCCCCCCCCCCCCCCCCACCCCCCCCCCTTCCCCATCAGGGCATGGTACTGTTGAACAAAATGTGTACTGGGCTGATAAAATTAGAGGGATTCTAAGGGGTTGCCTCAAGTTGGTTAACTGGCATCTGGAGTGGTCATCAGAATAATCGCCCCTCAGGGTCCCTCCACACAAAGTGTGTAGTAGACTGATAAAACTGGAGGAACCCTGAGGGGTAATTAGTCTAATGACCACTCCAGATGCCAGTTCAGCAGTACCAAGCCCTGATGAAAGGGGACCCTGTAAACCCCCAAAAAAACATTGGATTTTCATCATGTAAGAATCATGAAAGTGATTCTGTCCAGATTTGACTTTATTGAGACTCTTTTATGAGACAAAGCCAACATATTTTGGAGGTTCAAAGCCCCCCCCCCTTCCCCATCAGGGCATGGTACTGTTGAACAAAATGTGTACTGGACTGATAAAATTAGAGGGATTCTAAAGGGATGCCTCAAGCTGGTTAACTGGCATCTGGAGTGGTCATCAGACTAATTACCCCTCAGGGTCCCTCCACACAAAGTGGGGAGGGACCCTGTAGGGTAATTAGCCTGTTGACCACTCCAGATGCCAGTTCAGCAGTACCAAGCCCTGATGAAAGGGGACTCTTTGAACCCCCAAAACACATTGGATTTTTATGATGTGAGAATCTTAATCTTAAGTGATTCTGGACGTTATACCTTCTGCTTTTGGAGCTTTCCTCCATGCACGTCCAATCCCTACTGGAGCAAAGAGTCAACCTTTGGCCAACACTCCCGGGAGAGCTTCCTAAGAAGAATCATTCCCTTTACACTGACTGAGAACATCTGAGATCCAGCATCCCACACCTTCATCCGTAACTACAGAGGCCAGTGTGGGCTTTAAAGCTCACATACTGCTGGTTATAAATATGTAAATCCTTGAACGCCCATAGCCAGGCCACAGGTATACTTGAAGGTTCAAACAATGATGCCAATTATTTTTGAAGTATCCTAGCAATATCATAACACAGGATATATTATATATATATTATAACAGACAAAACATTGCTGCTTATACATTGTGTATTCTCTCTTCTGTATGTTCCTTTGCAGCTCACTTATATGATAGGGGCAGCTTTCAACTATGCTGTGCTTCGAGTTACTGGCCAGGCCGGTCGTTCAAAGTTTTAAGCTCCGAGCTGGGGGACTAAGTACAAACTGTCTTCAAACTATGTTCGTAATCTCATCGTTTAATTCCTCTTCTCTTAATGGACTCATAATAATATGGATAGCGCTTTTCCATAGCTGGTCTGCCCTTTGTATCCAGCTTTCAACGTCCTATTGGCGTAGATAAATTTCATCTCTACGTCGAAGCACTGTATACCTAAAGATCGAGGTTCTTCGGCTCATGTCACTGAAGCAATGGACACGAGTTTGTTTGCTGTAGATTAGAATGTAATGGGTGAAGGTGTGCAGAATTGGCATTAAAGTATACTCAAGTATTGTGTTAAAAGTCCACACCATATAGAAGCTAAGTATTGCTTGTTTTGGGCATGTAAAGCGAGATATGTATATTGTATAATATTCATTAAAACATATAGTCCTACACTTATTATTTTCTAGGATGGGTCTCCCAACTTTGGTTTATCTTGGATTGTTCTTCCACAATAATCATTGCTAGTTCTCAGGGGGCTGATTTATAGATCTCCAGTCTAGCGTATAGCTGGGCGAATGCCATTCGCACGGCATTACCATCACTAGGAAATTCCTATGCTCCCCAGCGCCATCTAGTGGCAGTAGTCCTGTGTGAGCGGCATTCTCCCAGCTATATGCCGGATGGAAGATTTATCTTTTAGCCCCATACTCTTATATTGGTTTACCAGAATCCTTATTTTTAACAACCCACCAGCCCCAGTTCTAAGTACAATTCTTGAACCCAAGAAAAGCACTTATACATCTCAAGTCACTTAGAAATATCACATTTAGCGCCATACTCCAACAACTATAAAATAAGATAAGAACATCTTTCTAAATGACTTGCAATATACAACAATCCCTTAGTCCTAGATTCTACTGACCATTTTGGCTCAAAGGTTTTGTATGAGAAATGCCTAAGCCCCCTTATTGCACTCGGCTTGGACTACACCATAGATCCTCCATTGCATTTAACGCTTACTGTTAACCCTTCCTGCTTACTATTGCTAGAATACGGTTCCTTTCGCCACCATATCATAATTAATGTGCCTGTGGCCAAATATGGATTTCAAATAATCACAGAAGCTCTTCCTATGTGTAACTGTTCGGTAATACACTTAAATCCCAACTAAACTTTTAGTGAAAATCATCTATATACATCCCAGGTGCACCAAGAAAGGTGTGTAGACACATCCTAAGTAGCAAAGCATGTCTCCTGCTGAGAAGGATCCTTGTTCTTTGAGAGGAAGCAGTGGTCTCCTCTGCAGAGGTCCGACATGGCCTCTGCTAGGTCAGAGATAGAGCTTTCCAATCAGCAAATCTCATGGTTTCAGCTGGCTAGAGAGCTCTAGCTTTGCCTTAGCAGAGGATGTGTCAGACCCCTACAGAGACACCATTGCTTGCTCATAGAGAGCAAGTGCCCCACTTTGCAGCATGCTGGCAGGGAACAGGCTTTTCTACTTTCTATAGACCAACTGTAAGACTTTGCACACCTTAAAGTCTAGGCCTGGGCCAAGATACATACCCAGGAAGTGGAGATAGGGACATATCTTAGAGTGAGATCCAATTATTAGCGATCACACTTGAGAAGGGACTTTTATCAGTGGTCTTTTGTTAATAGTGGCTTTGCATATTTTGCACTTGATGGGCAAGCTCTTCTGCGATCCTCCCATTCAGCACTATGCGATGAACTAACGGGAATACTAAAGCTTTACTGAGTCAATATTCGAAGAAATTAATGAAAATGGTCCCAGTCTATATTATAATCCTACTTCTCAGATTATAAATGGGGCAAGGATTTTTTTTACATAACCATGTCTTCTCCATATCTGGTATAATATCTTTAAAGTTGAACTCCTGTCAGCATTCATTTGCTATTAGTGATAAGGCCATCTTCTTGATGACCTCAATCCTTCTTTAGTCTTCTCAAAGTTGCCTTCTTCAGTCTTCTCAAAGTTGCCTTTTTTGGTCTTCTCAATGTTGCCTTCTCTAGTCTTTTCAACGTTGCCTTCTTCAGTCTTCTCAAAGTTGCCTTCTCTAGTCTTCTCAACGTTGCCTTCTTCAGTCTTCTCAACGTTGCCTTCTTTAGTCTTCTCAACGCTGCCTTCTTTAGTCTTCTCAATGCTGCCTTCTTTAGCCTTCTCAACGTTACCTTCTTTAGTCTTCTCAGTGCTGCCTTCTTTAGTTTTCTCAGTGCTGCCTTCTTTAGCCTTCTCAACGCTGCCTTCTTTAGTCTTCTCAATGTTACCTTTTTTATTCTTCTCAACGTTGCCTTTTTAGTCTTCTCAACGTTGCCTTACTTAGTCTTCTCAAAGTTGGTAGATTCATCCAGACTGAAAGGTCCCCACCAATATTGCAGAGTGTACACTGTTGACCAGTCACCATTGCCCTCTTCCCTTAAGCCGGTTATATTACCCTTGTGGTCCTCAGAAGGCAGTGCTGACTAGAGTCAGTGGATCCCTCCGATCTGTCCTTGCCCCTGGATGCCCATTCACTTTGATGGGCAGTTCATATAAATATGAGGGATGCCTTTTATTTGCAGGGATAGATAAGCTCAGAGTCAGTGGATCCCTCCGATCTGTCTTTGCCCCTGGATGCCCATTCACTTTGATGGACAGTTCATATAAATATGAAGGATGCCTTTTAATTGCAGGGATAGATAAGCAAAGGGAGGTTGGAGAGCAGAACGACCCTGGAGTTCAGCTTTAATTACTCCCCTAGACTTATACAGCGGACACATTGGGCAGACACAGAGGTAGGTATTCCTAGCATAGCCTAGACACGAAAACCAGGGGAAAAACTTGGGACTAGGAATCTCCATATCGGAGATGAGCCCTACACTATTAATTCCCCTTTCCACTAACCGGCTTGTAATACATAAACCTGTTATATTGTTGTATTTAGGTAAAGCCTGTTAAACATGTCATGTCAATGTATCACGCATTGTAGACCACCAAACCATGTATAATCATTGTAATAAGCATCATCAAGGCAAGTGCATAACAGCGTCAACTAATGAGTTCATGGAAAGAAAAAAAAAATAAACTGCCTTCTTATATAATCAATAGACGGGCAGAATATATATATTTATTTATTATAAAATGTAATATCCACATTGATAACATCAGACAGGTTAAAATGTCTTTACTTGGGCTTTCAAACGGT